GCCTGGTTGGTGGCCTGGTTGGTGGTATGCCTGGTGGTATGGTTGGTGGTATGGTTGGTGGTATGGTTGGTGGTATGGTTGGTGGCCTGGTTGGTGGCCTGGTTGGTGGTATGGTTGGTGGCCTGGTTGGTGGTATGGTTGGTGGTATGGTTGGTGGCCTGGTTGGTGGTATGGTTGGTGGTATGGTTGGTGGTATGGTTGGTGGTATGGTTGGTGGTATGGTTGGTGGCCTGGTGGTGGCCTGGTTGGTGGCCTGGTTGGTGGCCTGGTTGGTGGTATGGTTGGTGGTATGGTTGGTGGGGCTGGTTGGTGGTATGGTGGTGGCCTGGTTGGTGGTATGGTTGGTGGTATGGTTGGTGGTATGGTTGGTGGTATGGTTGGTGGCCTGGTTGGTGGCCTGGTTGGTGGTATGGTTGGTGGTATGGTTGGTGGTATGGTTGGTGGTATGGTTGGTGGTATGGTTGGTGGCATGGTTGGTGGTATGGTTGGTGGCCTGGTTGGTGGTATGGTTGGTGGTATGGTTGGTGGTATGGTTGGTGGCCTGGTTGGTGGTATGGTTGGTGGTATGGTTGGTGGTATGGTTGGTGGTATGGTTGGTGGGTATGGTTGGTGGCCTGGTTGGTGGTATGGTTGGTGGTATGGTGGTGGTGGTATGGTTGGTGGCCTGGTTGGTGGCCTGGTTGGTGGTCTGGTTGGTGGTATGGTTAGTGGTATGGTTGGTGGTATGGTTGGTGGTATGGTTGGTGGCCTGGTTGGTGGTATGGTTGGTGGTATGGTTGGTGGTATGGTTGGTGGTATGGTTGGTGGCCTGGTTGGTGGCCTGGTTGGTGGTATGGTTGGTGGTATGGTTGGTGGTATGGTTGGTGGTATGGTTGGTGGTATGGTTGGTGGTATGGTTGGTGGCCTGGTTGGTGGTATGGTTGGTGGTATGGTTGGTGGTATGGTTGGTGGCCTGGTTGGTGGCCTGGTTGGTGGTATGGTTGGTGGTATGGTTGGTGGGCTGGTTGGTGGAATGGTTTGTGGCATGGTTGGTGGTATGGTTGGTGGTATGGTTGGTGGTATGGTTGGTGGTATGGCTGGTGGCCTGGTTGGTGGTATGGTTGGTGGCATGGTTGGTGGCATGGTTGGTGGTATGGTTGGTGGTATGGTTGGTGGCCTGGTTGGTGGTATGGTTGGTGGCCTGGTTGGTGGTATGGTTGGTGGTATGGTTGGTGGCATGGTTGGTGGTATGGTTGGTGGCCTGGTTGGTGGTATGGTTGGTGGTATGGTTGGTGGCATGGTTGGTGGTATGGTTGGTGGTATGGTTGGTGGTATGGTTGGTGGCCTGGTTGGTGGTATGGTTGGTGGTTTGGTTGGTGGTATGGTTGGTGGTATGGTTGGTGGTATGGTTGGTGGTATGGTTGGTGGTATGGTTGGTGGCCTGGTTGGTGGCCTGGTTGGTGGCCTGGCTGGTGGCCTGGTGGTGGCCTGGTGGTGCTCAGTTGGTGGCCTGGTGGTGGCCTGGTGGTGGCCTGGTGGTGGCCTGGTTGGTGGCCTGGTGGTGGCCTGGTTGGTGACCTGGTTGGTGGCCTGGTTGGTGGCCTGGTTGGTGGCCTGGTGGTGGCCTGGTGGTGGCCTGGTTGGTGGCCTGGTGGTGGCCTGGTGGTGGCCTGGTTGGTGGCCTGGTGGTGCTCAGTTGGTGGCCTGGTGGTGGCCTGGTGGTGGCCTGGTGGTGGCCTGGTGGTGGCCTGGTGGTGGCCTGGTGGTGGCCTGGTGGTGGCCTGGTGGTGGCCTGGTGGTGGCCTGGTGGTGGCCTGGTGGTGGCCTGGTGGTGGCCTGGTTGGTGGCCTGGTTGGTGTCCTGGCTGGTGGCCTGGCTGGTGGTGGCCTGGTGGTGGCCTGGTGGTGGCCTGGCTGGTGGCCTGGTGGTGGCCTGGCCTTGGTGGCCTGGTGGTGGCCTGGTGGTGGCCTGGTTGGTGGCCTGGTGGTGGCCTGGTGGTGGCCTGGTGGTGGCCTGGTGGTGGCCTGGTGGTGGCCTGGTTGGTGGCCTGGTGGTGGCCTGGTGGTGGCCTGGTGGTGGCCTGGTGGTGGCCTGGTTGGTGGCCTGGTGGTGGCCTGGTTGGTGGCCTGGTGGTGGCCTGGTGGTGGCCTGGTTGGTGGCCTGGTGGTGGCCTGGTGGTGGCCTGGTGGTGGCCTGGTGGTGGCCTGGTGGTGGCCTGGTGGTGGCCTGGTGGTGGCCTGGTGGTGGCCTGGTTGGTGGCCTGGTTGGTGGCCTGGTGGTGGCCTGGTGGTGGCCTGGTTGGTGGCCTGGTTGGTGTCCTGGCTGGTGGCCTGGTGGTGGCCTGGTGGTGGCCTGGTGGTGGCCTGGTGGTGGCCTGGTGGTGGCCTGGTTGGTGGCCTGGCTGGTGGCCTGGTGGTGGCCTGGTGGTGGCCTGGTTGGTGGCCTGGTGGTGGCCTGGTTGGTGGCCTGGTGGTGGCCTGGTTGGTGTCCTGGCTGGTGGCCTGGTGGTGGCCTGGTGGTGGCCTGGTGGTGGCCTGGTGGTGGCCTGGTGGTGGCCTGGTTGGTGGCCTGGTTGGTGGCCTGGTGGTGGCCTGGTGGTGGCCTGGTGGTGGCCTGGTTGGTGGCCTGGTGGTGGCCTGGTGGTGGCCAGGTGGTGGCCTGGTGGTGGCCTGGTGGTGGCCTGGTTGGTGGCCTGGTTGGTGGCCTGGTTGGTGTCCTGGCTGGTGGCCTGGTGGTGGCCTGGTGGTGGCCTGGTTGGTGGCCTGGTGGTGGCCTGGTGGTGGCCTGGTTGGTGGCCTGGTGGTGGCCTGGTGGTGGCCTGGTGGTGGCCTGGTTGGTGTCCTGGCTGGTGGCCTGGTTGGTGGCCTGGCTGGTGGCCTGGCTGGTGGCCTGGTTGGTGGCCTGGTGGTGGCCTGGTGGTGTCCTGGCTGGTGGCCTGGTTGGTGGCCTGGTGGTGGCCTGGTGGTGGCCTGGTTGGTGGCCTGGTGGTGGCCTGGTGGTGGCCTGGTTGGTGGCCTGGTGGTGGCCTGGTGGTGGCCTGGCTGGTGGCCTGGTGGTGGCCTGGTGGTGGCCTGGTGGTGGCCTGGTTGGTGGCCTGGCTGGTGGCCTGGCTGGTGGCCAGGTGGTGGCCAGTACCGGGGCTCGGCCGTGTGGATGTGTCAATTCAATTTCTTTCTTTATTATGCACCCTATACCCATCCCGTGGGCGGTGGTGTAAAGGGTTACAGAGACACATAATCGCTTTAGGAACTGAACCCTCTAGTTCGTTCAGCTAAGCAAATAACAATCTTTTGACGCTAGTTACACAATTATTAATGTTATATATATACAAGTACATATATTTACATGTGTGTGAAGTGTGTGTTTTACCCGTAGTGAGCGGTGTGTGTGTGTGTCGGCTCTCCCGGTATGTGTTTTTGTGGTGTGTGTGAGCGTGGGAGGACATATTGTGTTGCTCGGTGTCTGTGTGGCGGAGTTTGTGTAAATAATTAATGTGCTTCACGCGGCGCTACGCAGCCTCCCGTGCTATCTTGTCTTCTTGTAATGACTACTTAATGTATCTCATCATTGTACTGAGAACTACAGTTATTCCCCAGGTGTCCAATACACTTTGTTTCTGAATGTGTACTCACCTAGTTGTGCTTGCGGGGGTTGAGCTCTGGCTCTTTGGTCCCGCCTCTCAACCGTCAATCAACAGTTGTACAGATTTCTGAGCCTATTGGGCTCTATCAAATGTGTGTACTCGTGCCAGTGCTGGGAAGAGGTAGGTACGGAGGGTAAGACTGCTCGCGGCACCTTCAGGAAGCACCTGTCATCTGAGTGTCAGTTCGAACTGCGTTCATTTATTATGCACCCTATACCCGTGGCGTGGGCGGTGGTGAGCGAGACAACGGACTCTACACTTACACAACAAACTTACTCATCAGATGACTCCGCAAGATAATCTCATTATCTCTTGTCTTGACTGTTTAGTAACACAAGTATATCTCTTCACTACAGCTGAGGTGAGTATCTTTATATACACTTTATATATCCCTTATATGGTTGATATAGTGGTGTAGAGCAGTGTGGGCGTGATGGTGGTGTAGAGCAGTGTGGGCGTGATGGTGGTGTAGAGCAGTGTGGGCGTGATGGTGGTGTAGAGCAGTGTGGGCGTGATGGTGGTGTAGAGCAGTGTGGGCGTGATGGTGGTGTAGAGCAGTGTGGGCGTGATGGTGGTGTAGAGCAGTGTGGGCGTGATGGTGGTGTAGAGCAGTGTGGGCGTGATGGTGGTGTAGAGCAGTGTGGGCGTGGTGTTGAGCAGTGTGGGCGTGGTGTTGAGCAGTGTGGTGATGGTGGTGTAGAGCAGTGTGGGCGTGATGGTGGTGTTGAGCAGTGTGGGCGTGGTGTTGAGCAGTGTGGGCGTGATGGTGGTGTGGGCGTGATGCAGTGTGGGCGTGATGGTGGTGTTGAGCAGTGTGGGCGTGATGGTGTTGAGCAGTGTGGGCGTGATGGTGGTGTTGAGCAGTGTGGGCGTGATGGTGGTGTAGAGCAGTGTGGGCGTGATGGTGGTGTTGAGCAGTGTGGGCGTGATGGTGGTGTTGAGCAGTGTGGGCGTGATGGTGGTGTTGAGCAGTGTGGGCGTGATGGTGGTGTAGAGCAGTGTGAGCGTGGTGGTGGTGTTGAGCAGTGTGGGCGTGATGGTGGTGTTGAGCAGTGTGGGCGTGATGGTGGTGTAGAGCAGTGTGGGCGTGATGGTGGTGTTGAGCAGTGTGGGCGTGATGGTGGTGTTGAGCAGTGTGGGCGTGATGGTGGTGTTGAGCAGTGTGGGCGTGGTGTTGAGCAGTGTGGGCGTGATGGTGGAGTAGAGCAGTGTGGGCGTGATGGTGGTGTTGAGCAGTGTGGGCGTGATGGTGGTGTTGAGCAGTGTGGGCGTGATGGTGGTGTAGAGCAGTGTGGGCGTGATGGTGGTGTAGAGCAGTGTGGGCGTGATGGTGGTGTAGAGCAGTGTGGGCGTGATGGTGGTGTTGAGCAGTGTGGGCGTGATGGTGGTGTTGAGCAGTGTGGGCGTGGTGTTGAGCAGTGTGGGCGTGGTGTTGAGCAGTGTGGGCGTGATGGTGGTGTTGAGCAGTGTGGGCGTGGTGTTGAGCAGTGTGGGCGTGATGGTGGTGTTGAGCAGTGTGGGCGTGGTGTTGAGCAGTGTGGGCGTGGTGTTGAGCAGTGTGGGCGTGGTGTTGAGCAGTGTGGGCGTGGTGTTGAGCAGTGTGGGCGTGGTGTTGAGCAGTGTGGGCGTGGTGTTGAGCAGTGTGGGCGTGGTGTTGAGCAGTGTGGGCGTGATGGTGGAGTAGAGCAGTGTGGGCGTGATGGTGGTGTTGAGCAGTGTGGGCGTGATGGTGGTGTTGAGCAGTGTGGGCGTGATGGTGGAGTAGAGCAGTGTGGGCGTGGTGTTGAGCAGTGTGGGCGTGGTGTTGAGCAGTGTGGGCGTGGTGTTGAGCAGTGTGGGCGTGGTGTTGAGCAGTGTGGGCGTGGTGTAGAGGAGTGGTATAACAGGGGTGTATGATAAGCGAGAGGATATGATGGGTTTAACACCTGCAGCCAACACCTCATAAAACACCCGCGTCGTAAACCATGATGAATGAAACACCCCCAAATGGGAGGTGGGTGGGTGGGCGTGTGGATGAGTGGGCGGGTGTAGGTGGGTGGGCGTGTGGATGTGAGTGGGCGGGTGTAGGTGGGTGGGCGTGTGGATGTGAGTGTGCGGGTGTAGGTGGGTGGGCGTGTGGATGTGAGTGGGCGAGTGTAGGTGGGTGGGCGTGTGGATGTGAGTGGGCGGATGTAGGTGGGTGGGCGTGTGGATGGAGTGTGTAGTGGGCGTGGTGTGAGTGTGGTGTGGGCGTGTGGATGTGAGTGAGTGTGCGGGTGTAGGTGGGTGGGCGCGTGGATGTGAGTGGGCGGGTGTAGGTGGGTGGGCGTGTGGATGTGAGTGTGCGGGTGTAGGTGGGTGGGCGTGTGGATGTGAGTGGGCGGGTGTAGGTGGGTGGGCGTGTGGATGTTAGTGTGCGGGTGTAGGTGGGTGGGCGTGTGGATGTGAGTGGGCGGGTGTAGGTGGGTGGGCGTGTGGATGTGAGTGGGCGGGTGTAGGTGGGTGGGCGTGTGGATGTTAGTGGGCGGGTGTAGGTGGGTGGGCGTGCGGATGTGAGTGGGCGGGTGTAGGTGGGAGGGCTTCTCGATGTGAGTGGGCGGGTGTAGGTGGGTGGGCGTGTGGATGTGAGTGGGCGGGTGTAAGTGGGTGGGCGTGTGGATGTGAGTGGGCGGATGTAGGTGGGTGGGCGTACGGATGTGAGTGGGCGGGTGTAGGTGGGTGGGCGTGTGGATGTGAGTGAGCGGGTGTAGGTGGGTGGGCGTGTGGATGTGAGTGGGCGGGTGTAGGTGGGTGGGCGTGTGGATGTGAGTGTGCGGGTGTAGGTGGGTGGGCGTGTGGATGTGAGTGGGCGGGTGTAGGTGGGTGGGCGTGTGGATGTGAGTGGGCGGGTGTAGGTGGGTGGGCGTGTGGATGTGAGTGGGCGGGTGTAGGTGGGTGGGCGTGTGGATGTGAGTGGGCGGGTGTAGGTGGGTGGGCGTGTGGATGTGAGTGGGCGGGTGTAGGTGGGTGGGCGTGTGGATGTGAGTGGGCGGGTGTAGGTGGGTGGGCGTGTGGATGTGAGTGGGCGGGTGTAGGTGGGTGGGCGTGTGGATGTGAGTGGGCGGGTGTAGGTGGGTGGGCGTGTGGATGTGAGTGGGCGGGTGTAGGTGGGTGGGCGTGTGGATGTGAGTGGGCGGGTGTAGGTGGGTGGGCGTGTGGATGTGAGTGGGCGGGTGTAGGTGGGTGGGCGTGTGGATGTGAGTGGGCGGGTGTAGGTGGGTGGGCGTGTGGATGTGAGTGGGCGGGTGTAGGTGGGTGGGCGTGTGGATGTGAGTGGGCGGGTGTAGGTGGGTGGGCGTGTGGATGTGAGTGGGCGGGTGAAGGTGGGTGGGCGTGTGGATGTGAGTGGGCGGGTGTAGGTGGGTGGGCGTGTGGATGTGAGTGGGCGGGTGTAGGTGGGTGGGCGTGTGGATGTGAGTGGGCGGGTGTAGGTGGGTGGGCGTGTGGATGTGAGTGGGCGGGTGTAGGTGGGTGGGCGTGTGGATGTGAGTGGGCGGGTGTAGGTGGGTGGGCGTGTGGATGTGAGTGGGCGGGTGTAGGTGGGTGGGCGTGTGGATGTGAGTGGGCGGGTGTAGGTGGGTGGGCGTGTGGATGTGAGTGGGCGGGTGTAGGTGGGTGGGCGGGTGTAGGTGGGTGGGCGTGTGGATGAGAGTGGGCGGGTGTAGGTGGGTGGGCGTGCGGGTGTAGGTGGGTGGGCGTGCGGATGTGAGTGGGCGGGTGTAGGTGGGTGGGCGTGTGGATGTGAGTGGGCGGGTGTAGGTGGGTGGGCGTGTGGATGTGAGTGGGCGGGTGTAGGTGGGTGGGCGTGCGGATGTGAGTGGGCGGGTGTAGGTGGGTGGGCGTGTGGATGTGAGTGGGCGGGTGTAGGTGGGTGGGCGTGTGGATGAGAGTGGGCGGGTGTAGGTGGGTGGGCGTGCGGATGTGAGTGGGCGGGTGTAGGTGGGTGGGCGTGTGGATGTGAGTGGGCGGGTGTAGGTGGGTGGGCGTGTGGATGTGAGTGGGCGGGTGTAGGTGGGTGGGCGTGTGGATGTGAGTGGGCGGGTGTAGGTGGGTGGGCGTGTGGATGTGAGTGGGCGGGTGTAGGTGGGTGGGCGTGTGGATGTGAGTGGGAAGGTGGAGAAGATGAATGCATAGAACTTAAAGGAAGATGGTGTGAACAAGCAACGTGATTGGCTACCCTCCTTATAGCAGCAAACAAACAAGCAACGTGATTGGCTAACCTTCTTATAGCAGCAAACAAACGAGGAACGTGATTGGTTAACCTCCTTATAGCAGCAAACAAACAAGCAACGTGATTGGCTAACCTTATAGCAGCAGACACTCGAGGGACGTAATTGGCTGGTGTGAATCATGCAGTTAACCTCACGGATAGGCTAGCGCCCAGCTCGGGTTATCCTCCTCGGCCAATTAAAATCGAGCATAGAGAGTGTGCTCGGGCGTGAGGCTAGGACACCTGATTGTCAATTACGCGAAACACGCGTTTCAGATATGTGTCAAAGGTATTGGAGACCTCAAGTAGTGAGACAACACTGTGTTGAACTCCCGGCCAATCAGCCCAGGAGCTGAGACCCGACAATGGTAGCTCATGTAATAATAATAATAATGATTATAATATTATTAATAATAATAACAATGGTAATTACAATAACACTGATATTAACACTAATAATATTGAGAAAATCCACTAGGGCTATGAGGTGGGGCGCGAACCTGGGACCCAAGTATTGCCAGTCGCGTACGCTACCACTGGACCAACAGGAATCAATAGGAAACAAACCGGAGTCCTACTGAAATCACAGGAATGTTGTTGTTTAAGATTCGCTACTTGGAACAGAAAAGTTCCAAGTAGCACGGGCTATGGTGACCCCGTAGACAGGAAGTCTGGAGCCCCATACTGAAGTCAGTCCAGGTCTTGACGGATGACCCACATGTACGTATTACATCATGTCGTGGTGTAGTGGGGTAAGGCGTGTGCTTGCGAGTACCCAGAGCTCCGGGTGGGGATGTATAAGGTGTAGGGACACTTCCCCCCGAGCTCTGAATACTCTCATGCACACGCCTTACCCCATTACACCACGACATGGTCAAGAGCACTGTAACCTGCGATTATCTGATTCCTCTAGGGGTTCCCGAGGCTTCAACTGAAGCCAAAGGCATTGCGTTAAAAATCTAACAGCGCTTCAGTTGTTAAAGGGAAGGGAACTATCAACGGTAAAGCGCCAAGCCATTACGACTATATAGCACTTGGATGGGGTCAGGATAAGGATTTGGGATAGGACGGGCGGGAAGGAATGGTGCCCAACCATTTGGACGGTCGGGGATTGAACGCCGACCTGCATGAAGCGAGACCGTCGCTCTACCGTCCAGTCCAGTTTAAAAAATAAACTAGATCATTAAAATATGTTTCTGGATTCCTATTTCTGAGCGTAATTCAACGTTTGAATTGCATGTTTGAAAACATGTAAGTTTCAAACACACGTTTGAAGTTTTAATGTTAGTTTTTTTTAATAAAGAAATTTGGCCATAAGGAAAACCAGTGATTTTTCACATTTTACCCAAACTGACCTCCAGTTGGAAAAATAAGATAGATAGTTACAATATTATGTTTGACTTCTATTTTTGAGCATATTTAAAAGTGATTGCACGTATATGAAGCTTAAAATTTAGTCATTGATAAGGAAATTTGAACAGACGGAAAAAGTAAATTTTTTTAGCGTCATTCTAAAAGTGATTTCCCAATTTGAAGCTTAAAATTGAACCATTTATTGCACCTTTTTGATTGCCCCTTTCGACCTTAAGGGTCAACAACAGCAACTTTAAAGATACTTGCTTCTGACTATCGACAGTCGGAAAGACGTAGACCAGGAGCTAAAGTCCGGTCCTGCAGTTGTAAGTTCGAACTACGAGGAAGAGTTTGGGTTGTAGCAGCACATGTAGGTGAGCAGACAAGCACAGATCAAGAGGTCCCGCCCCCACCACACTTGGTTAGCTCGTTACTCTGGTCAAGGGGGGGGGGGGAGGGGGAGGGGTGAGGGAAGGGGGGGAAGGGAGAGATGAGAGGGAGTGAGGGTAGGAAGGTGACAGGAAAGAGGGGAACAGAAGGGTCGGAGGGAATGAGAGGGGAGGTATGGAAAGTGATGAGGGAATGTGTGAGTAGGAGAGGATTTTTATAATAATAATAATACACAGAAAAATCCCACTAACGTGATATATATCAATCACAAAATCCCACTAACGTGATATACATCAACGAGATAATCCACTGGGGCTGTGAGGTGGGCTCGAACCTGCGACCAAGGCATTGTCAACCGCATACTCTCCCACTAAACCATCGCAACTCGCTAAAACTCATACAACCGAGATTCTACTGAAATCACAGGACGTGCAAGCCTGACTCGTGTGGCACATTAGGCCTAGCTCGTGAGGCAGGCAGTATAGACCTGACTCGTGAGGCAGACAGTGTAGACCTGACTCGTGAGGCAGACAGTATAGACCTGACTCGTGAGGCAGACAGTATAGACCTGACTCGTGAGGCAGACAGTGTAGACCTGACTCGTGAGGCAGACAGTATAGACCTGACTCGTGAGGCAGACAGTGTAGGCTTATCATCTGAGGCAGGCAGAGGCAGATAGAGGACCCGCAATTGAGAGGAAAGATAGACAGCGATAGACAAATAGAACAATATAATAAGGATAACAGGTAGCAGAATGAAATACGATGGTAGTAAATTAGACACTGGGATAGGTGATAGGGGACGTGAAAACATGCCTGGGTGACAGTCAAGTGGAATGAATTAACGAAGGCAGTTTAAGGTAACTGATCTCACAGGAACAGTCACTATACATCAAGTCCCTCATCTCACAGGGACGGTCACTACATCAAGTCCCTCATCTCACAGGGACGGTCA